ATGTATTTGTAATTTTATCTAAATCTATCAGATAAACACATGCATGAGCAATTTTTCAGCTACAATTGGTGAACCTGGAGAGTTAAAGGAATAAGGAACATATGGAGATTAATTGGTGATACGTTGTTTTTTTGTATTTTAAATACAAATTTAAGTTAATTGGTTTTGAAAGTTTTGAAACGTGTTTGTTTTGGGATAAAATTGTGGATTGATTTTAAAATTTTCATATTTTCATTTCATTTCAAAGTGAATCCCGTACAATATGGTGAGGTAATATTACCAGATAAACACCTTTAGGTGATCGCATGAATGTCATATTTTGAATGTTATGCACTAGGTATAAATACATGACAGATTACCCTGTTTCCCTGGTAATTATTGTCCTCCTGAGAGGGTATGTAAGTCCCAAAACATTCGAAGTAAATTAAAACGTTCCACTTTTTAATCGTAGAATACCTGTTCTTTTAATGTATGGCTAGATTTGCTAAATTGCTAACGGCTGAAGGGATGGTGTAAATCAAGCTAGGGTCCATGCAGGAAGCAAATGTACTGTAAGTCCCCATGGTCCCTAGTATGGTGATCTACCTTCAGTTGTTGGCAATCTATAGCCGGTTTTTATATTGTATTGTCATTTAAAAGTAACATATTTTAGATATAATTACTAGTTTCACATACATATCTGTGATATTCTAGTTGTTTTACTGTCCTTCGTAGACAGGTTTTTTATAATATACATATATTTCATTTCAATATCGAATGTTCTCGTCACCATATGGCTGAAATATTGCCGATGTGACGTTAAATATAAACTCACTCACTCACTGTTTCCCTGGTCTGTTATCACAGATCCCTTTCGGAAGGATCCCATGATTGGCATTGTATCGTATCTCGGTTTTATTGTTTCCGTTTGTTCATTGACAAACGACATTAAGCGATCGTTAAGTGATATGTTTCGTGACACTTGCAATCATTGGAGCCGATCTATCAATTCAAACTATTTCAGTTTCACCCATTTACAAAGGTGCGACGCTAATACCGAGTGCGTACTTACATATCGTCAGTAGGAAACTCTCTTTAAAGGTTGTGAGATTTCAGGAAAACATTGATATTGTTAAAGTACAGATGTTAACACAAATGCTTGTATCTACATAACGCCAAGGTGGGAATAATTAGAGTATAAGAGTTCTTTATATAGCAGTACATTGTGAATCTGCTGATAGACGACCAACTTGAGTCTAAGTAAATTTAGTTTACCTCTACTTTCACTTTGACTTGTATGGTTCTCTCTTCAGTCAATCCCATCCGATTCGCTTCAGGAACCATATCTGTGTGTCGTTTCGTTAAGTCTGCCTATCCTTCAACGTTAGGGTCATACAATGTGAGTTGCACATGTGGCAAATTAAGGCCTAACATGGAATGCGTTAATGCTGGTATTTATCTGAGTCATCAGGACAAATAATTCGAATCCTGACGTGTGTACAATGTGTAAAGTACGGAGGCGCAGTTGTGCCTAAAGCTGGTATTTATCTGTCTCATCGGGGCAAATAATTCGAATCCTGACGTGTGTACATTTTGTAATGTACTGAAGCGCAGTTGTGCCTAAAGATGGTATTTGAATCCCGACGTGGGCACTGTACACAATGTATGTGAGGTACGGAAGAGAAGCTGTGCTTAAAGCTGGTCTTTATCAGATTCATCAACCCTAAAAATTCGAATCCCGACGAAGGCACTTTATGTGAAGTATGGAAGCGCAGTTGTGCCTAAAGCTGGTATTTATCCGACTCATCAACCCAAAAATTCGCATCCCGACAGTGAAGCCCATTTCTGTTGTCCGACTCTAATATTGTTGGATTTATTGCCAACAGCGGTTTAAAACTGAATACACTCACTCACTCACTCACTCACTCAAGACCATACATAAGCACACCCATGCCATCCACACTCTCACTCACGTAAGCGTTGAAGGATGCAGTATTCCAGTTACAAAGTTGGCTAAAGAGAGTTTACATCACTAGCAGTAAATATTTCAATAACTCAACAGCGTGTACTAAAACTATAATTATCCGTGTCAGCTACTTACAGTTTCACACCTTTCCATAAAATACCCTCAACACAATTTTTAATGTCAGGACTCAAACCATTAATCGTTGACAGGTTCATAATGTGCCTTCTACCAAAACCAGACACACGACGGAAATGTCTAGAAAGCATGAACCTCCCTCGGTTGGTATCCAGGTGCTCTTAACTGAAGATTATTTGTTGCGCTAAACATCTCAACATACTTCACGTTCAGCTCCTATATTACTTAACATCTGGAGATCAGCCGTTAGGTAATGTCAGACAGCTTTCTGTATCCCCCTCCTGCTGTTAACGCTGAAACCTTCTCCGTTAGGTCCCTAAACAGAGTGATCCTTTGATGCCTTGTTTCAGACTTCTTGTAGGAATCAGACCAATAATGGTCCTATATCTGTAGGGCGCCAGACTAAAGTCTTTTCTTTCTGCTAAGCAATCGGGTTTTCAGCATGGTTCCGGCTCACAAGGACGTGCGGATTTTAACTGATCTTCTTTCGTCTGACTGTGTTGATTTTCACCCATTCATACAACTAATTGGCCTTTTAAAGATGATTCGTTACATGTTTGGTATCGGAACTGTCAAGACAGACGAGCTGTCTCGTCATCGAGGGAAAATCCACGTTTACTTTCATACCGGATTGTGTGTTAGGTGCCATTACCACAAAAAGCAATTTCATTCCGTAGTATATAGATATTGCGGGGAAAATAAATGCTATGAAATATCACGAAAAGCATTGTAGACATGTTAGATTATGCAAAACGTTGTCTTTATAAACTGTGTGAAAATTAGCTCATGTTCATATTGTGTTCTTTGAGTGTTGATCTATTGAGAAATTGTCAATTTTAATGACTTCTTGACGCTGGGGTAGCCTAGTGGTTAAAGCGTTCGCTCGTCACGCCGAAGACCCGGGTTCGATTCCCCACATGGGTACAATGTGTGAAGCCCATTTCTGGTGTCCCCGCCGTGATATTGCTTGAAAGGGATAAAAGTGGCGTAAAACCAAACTCACTCACTCACCCAAATGACTTCTGCACGAAGGCCTCAACTGTAACAGACCCGTGAAGATCCGGGGTAGAATAGGTCTTCAGCAACCCATGCTTGCCAAAAAGGCAACTATGCTAGTCGTAAGAGGCGACTATCGTAAGAGGATCGGGTGGTCAGGCTCGCTGACTTGGTTGACCCATGTCATCGTATCCCAATTGCGCAGATCGATGCTCATGCTGTTGATGACTGGATTGTCTGGTCCAGACTCGATTATTTACAGACCGCCGCCATATAGCTGGAATATTGCTGAGTGCGGTGTAAAACTCAACTCACTCCCTCACTCAACTGTAATACTGGATTGAAATAATGCCGTGTTTAAATTTGATTTAAAGTTTATAAAGATGATGTGTTAAGAAGCTCCTATTCCAAGCGGGTCACTGTATATAGATTGAAACAGAATTAGAACTGAGAAATAAACAAATTGAAATAAAACCAGTCTTATCTTGGTTTTGACATGCGTAGCATACAGACTAGTTTTTCAAAGTAATACAGATACGGAAAACACATAAGTGAAGAACAGTATAGAATTTACACATTCAGCTGGTCCAACGGTATTTAAAACTTGTTGGCATTTGGAAAATTGACTGAAGTCCAAACCAAGTTATCAAGTACATATCGAGACAATTAGTAATCAAACAAATATACACTTTTATATACTTTATACACGTATTTCATTATGGTAACGTGTGTGACATTTGCCTTGGAACCTATTATTCCCCGAGAGATATCTTCGAAACACATGCACGATATTTACCAATTACCTTCCGGCTGGTCCTTCCCAATATTAGTTTATCAAACACGCTCATTGTCTACTGGTCATCTGCGAGTCTCGTTATACAGACTATCTGATTGCATGCTATTTAGTATGTAATGCAGATATCGGTTCTCGTTATATCAGAGTCCCGTTGGGACTCCTCTTGAACGTAAGCTTGTCGAAAGAGGCGACTAAATGGGTCGGGTTAGACTCACTGTCTCGGATGATTTTGTATTCTTGGACATCGATGACGTTGTACGTTCTTCATGATATCAGTCATTATTACAAGCTGTCAAATCTGAGTGATTGAGTGACTATGGTTTTACGCCGCTTTTAGCAATACTCCAGCAATATCACGGCGGGAGACACCAGAAATGGGCTTCACACATTGTAATGATGTGAGAAATCGAACCCGGGTCATCGGCCTGACAAGCCAACGCTTTAACCACTGCCTACCCCACCGACCCCGTCAAATCTGAACTATAACCGGGTACATCAAATAACAGTGTAGGAGGGGTGCCCAACCACACGCGGAACATTTGAAAAATATATTTGATAAAAAAACACACCCCAAAATAGATTAATAAACAAATTAACTGCATTAATATAAATACTTTTAAACGAATTTTTCATAATTTCAGATGAATATGTCCAAAACGCAGGGGCGATGAAAACTTTGCGTTCATCATTCATCCCGAACATTACCCTACGTATGTCAAAACAACGCTTTTACTTTAAGTTACATCAAGCGTTATTGATGTCATGCCTTACAAACCATCATTTATGGCGCGAAGGAAAGTGGTTGAGAGATACCATTAGCCCACGACAGCTGCGGCATGAGCAAAACAACTCGCAGACGGGAGTCCTCCGACTCCCACGTTAATGTCAGTAACAAGCACCTTACAAAGTTGTCAATACCTCGCCCTTCGCCCTCGATTCATGGCGTTAGTTGCCGACACAGGCCATAATGCCATTATCCTAGCAGTGAACGACAACAGGCAAATATTCGCCTTGATCCCGTCACCCTAAGGGGTGAAACAGAGTTTACTTTCAGAGGGGAAATGGAATTTACTTTAAGGCTGCGATGTGATTCGTTTTCAAAGGAGGTAACAGAAAGACACAACTATATTGGTTTCAAACCGGCATATTATTCACTGACACATAACCACAATCGTAACAACATTTGCAACATGAAAGTTCATTTTCTTCCGTGTAATCAATTGTCCTATACTGGGCTAGTCTTCAGAGACGATGGAAGGTGGTCATTATGTGACCAAACTACATTCTTGATTAGACTATGATCCATGATGTCAATCTTATGAACCTAAACCACTGTGGGCGTTTTTGAGTTTCTGTACACAGTATGCATTACTTTACAAGCTATACGTATTCGTATTTACATGAAATGCATTCATTTTGCATTAAAAATCGTTAAAGTGTCAAAACTGGTGTTAATCACATCTTGAAAATCAACATTACTGACACATTTACATAAGTACATTTACGTACATAGCGAATGGTCAGAACAGAATAATGATCCCGGAAACATACATAATGTAATACATTACACAGGTCGATTAGGGCCATGCTGTCAAACTTACCAGCCCTAATAGAGCAAGTAATCAGCCTAGTTTGTTTCTGGTTTATACCTAGAATTCTTTTCAGTATTTTAAGTTTTATCCTTGACTCTCATGTCAATATTTAATGCAATTTAACAGATTGATCAGAAGCGCTAACCCAATCTGAATTGTCTGAGTCTGTCAAATTCGTATTTGCATGTTTCTCTCATGACTTGGTGTAACGTGCAAGTATCGGCATGACTGTGCCAGCTTTGAAGTGACCTGCAATTGTGTTCAGTAATACCCAATAATGAAGCAATTACAGATGAAATATTCCAATTACTTACTCTCATGAAAATGTATGAGATATTACAACAAGAGGCCAGTCTATATCAGAAGTAATATTAGCACGAGAAAAGTTCCCCGTAACCGGACTCTCGAAAAATATAGATTGTCTCTCTAAGCAATGACTGCACTGACAATACACTACTACACCAGACTCGTTTGGTGATACGATATCAAAGCAATTGGTCATTGGTTCTCAACAATACTGAAGATATAGGATGGAACATTCTCCATACATTTACAAATTATAGTGAAGACCATTCTTACAGTGTTCCAAAGTGCGTGGTGCATGGGACATTAAATTATATCTAACAACATGTTTTATGAATACATAAGTTAGCCCTAAACATTTGACAACCTCCCAATATCCTGTTAATGTCAATATTCAGTTTACATTGGCTGCAGACAAATTCAGGACAAAAAGTCTCTGATGACATGATTCATGTCGATCTCACACCTTTGGAATAATTGTCTATCAAGAGTTCTTTCCGTTCTTCTTTTAGCGCCTCAGTCTATCCATGATCACAAACCGTAAGGTATTGTACACTTTCCAACACCACTGGTGGCAACTTTAGTATCACAGCTTCCTGATCTGATGAGATTTATAACAATTTAGAGACTTCGAGGCTTACGGAGACAATCATCGTGGCACTCGCTTGCCTATTATCCTTGGCACCAGACCCATTTCTTGCGTTTCATTTGCCACAATATCCGGGAGTTCAGAACTTTCAATGAGTAGGCAAATGCACAGCAGCATTTGCTGGGTAGTTAGACTGGAAACTTCTACGGCATCATGTTAGGTTTATGTACAGGATGCGGTTTCCGTGACGTACAAATACATCATGATCAGGTCGTTTGTGGCCAAATCACCTGACCAAATTGGTTCTTGCACAGAATGCACAATGGACAGATGATATCATCAATGCCGTTCTAATGTGCACAACAATACTTTTAAACCGTTAAACCATATTTTGTGTAATCCCACAAAACACAACACAATGTGCTGAGATGACAGGTGATGCAGTGAATCGTTTAACTATACAAGTCATGCTAAGCTAAACGTACAAGTCATACAATATCACATTCTTATACACCATTTGGAACTGATACAGACATATAATGAACATCCAAATAGTATATTCTCCATTGTGGCTGAAGATCAGAAAATATAATTTGCTTGATATTACAAATTTCTCAAAAAAGAAAAGCTCTCAATTTTGAATAGATTTGAAACACTGTGGCATGACATAGTGAGTCCAACAAATGTCCTCAGACAGGACTGTGGACTGAAACCTTCTGATATGTTATGATGTACCTACGGAGCATCCTCTGGTACCTGATCCTCACATGACCCTATCAGTCTCACCATTACTGAAATGCTGGTAGAATTAATTATCTTGAAGTGGTCACTTTAGTCTCATTGGCCTCCTGATATGGACAGATGGCACCGACGTGCAGAAATAACGCTTCTCACGTCTCACCGAGAATCACCATCCATTTGACCACTCATCAGAAAGACAATTGCTGCAAACCAGAGTGTCTGTCAGCGTGCGCCGAGGGTCTTTCGATAATAAAATCACATGTGGTAACAATGTAGTTAAAGGAATACTTTGTGATATTCAGATCACATAAATCAAGAGCGTTGTCGTCGCCTTAATAAAATCTAAATTTGGGAGCTCTTGCTTTGTTTAAATCTTTTCTGTTCCTGACATAGATCTTCAGATATATAGGTCATTCCGTGTCATCTGTTATTATTTGTCAATTTGTCTATTTCAGAATCAATATTTGCTCAGGGTCGGTAACTTTAAGCAATCGAATCTAACAAATAGCCCTAAGATTGAAAGAAGGTCTTCAAACGTTCTTGACGTACATCGCGACCCGTGGATGACTGTGTTACTGTGACTTTTTAATGTCAAGTCCGTCTTTGCATCATTCGAGAATCCGTAGAAATCTGGTTAAACATGAGTCGTGATAGTTGCTGATAATGCTGAAAAGCCGTCTTGGTGTCCACCTTGAAGTAGATTTTCTTGATTGGCTAGACGACTGAGCAGCAATTCGCTGAAACACACGCAAGTGTGTCCAACGATCTCTGCACACTAGCCATACAGACTACTCAGCCTGGAGTGGAACAGACTACACTTTGGTGATGTTTGTGGAGCTCTGGAAGGAGTCTACTCGAGATACCATTGTATTGTACCGATTCTTCCTCTCAATGCTTCGGAAAAGGAGCTGAAATCCTGAAATGAAATTGTATAATGATTAAAATGTATAGTGAAACAGATATGTTTTGGGTCTGTGCCTGCTCGATACGCCTATTGACATCATAAGATCTTTGGTAGTATACGCTGAATCAGGAGCACATTGCGTTGCTATACCAAGCTAAAATCTATTAAATCATCCACTCACAAATGAATACAAGCTAACTACATTCATTCCATATACCTTGTAAGGATTCTGTGGGGATCAAGACTAGGGTCTTTTTATCGGCAAGGTGAAATATCTGAGTATGATGATCTCCGAATTTTCACAAAAGGATAATTTTACGATATAAATGCAATATAATTGGATAATGTTTGTCGTGAAGGTATGCAGGGTTTTTCTTACAATTACGAATATTGAATAATGACACTGTAAACATAACACCTAACAATACCGTGAATCTGAAACAAAATGAACATTTACAACATAGGTTCCTGGAATTCATTGATCTGTGGGAAGTTGCAAAATGTATTTACAGTTCCTATTCACATTGGTGATGTTCAAATATGATATGTATCTGTTCTACACATGTCTAAATGGTAATATATACACAAACTATGGTCATATTACCCTGACCTATTACCCAATGCAATTACGTACATAGCAACCTTTTCACGTCTAGGCGAGACAAGGGTCTGTGTTATATCTCTTTAACATTGTAGAACTCAAATATACATACACAGACAGATAACATACAAAACAGCCCCACGTTTTGAACAATTGTTGACACTGTGAATGATTTTCATTGACGACAGACTTTGATAGTGGGCGGGAAGTATATGAGCACAGTCATTATTCTTTCATACCAATTTGGGAGGAATGGAAATGGAAATATTTAGTTAACGAATGAGAAAACGAAAAGAATTAAAATTTGGGTGGAGAACTTTTCAATGAGTTGACCCCTGCAAACATATTCCTGAAAAGGTTTCAAGTTCAATATTTGGCGAGCCCATTGGGGGAATCGAACCCCGGACTTTGGCGTGACGAGCAAACGTTTTAGCAATCCTATCACTAATAAAGACATTCAAACCAAGTCACACTCGTTACCCGATCATGGGTCATCGTACCATCATGGGATCATTTCTGAATGCATGCATTTATTTGCTACCCAGATGCCAGTGGTTTCAAATAACTGATTTATTAGGCGCTGTGAACATTACATTGTGTGCTTTGCTCTCACTTTAATTATATGATTAAAACCGTATCCAGGAGACTGGCTTATGAAGTGAATCAAATATTTCCCATTTCACAAGTACCTTTATGTCAATGATCAGTTCCACATGGAAAAAGTTCCACAAGTTTCGTTAGTATAGATGCTTCGTCGACCAAATAACTTCAGCATAAATGTATCGTGGAACAAATATTGCCAGTGTAGATGTATCATCGTACAAATATCGCCAGTATAGATGTATCGTCGAACACATATCGCCAGTATAGATGTATCGGTGAACAAATATCGCCGGTATAGATGTATCGGTGAACAAATATCGCCAGTATAGATGTATCGCCGTACAAATATCGCCAGTATAGATGTATCGTCGTACAAATATCATTAGTATAGATGTATCATCGTACAAATATTGTCAGTATAGATGTATCGTCGAACAAATATAGTCAGTATTAATGTATCGTCGAACATATGTCCTCAATTTCAAATGTATCGTCGACAGGTTTTCTTGAAAGAGATGTTCCAATGAATAATTACCCCACCCCCACAAAAAAAACAGTACAAAGGAAAAACCTATAAAAGACACTACTTGACACAACACGTTCACTGATATCTAATATTATACATTTACGTCATCAGGAATGATATCCCTCACCTAAACACACTCAGAGTACACGACATTGCCATCATTTAATAATACTTCAAGCAAGAATTACAGTAAAAGCAATACCTATGCCAGCTTTGTTCAAAAACGTGTAGACATTACACGCACAAATGTACATCTGTAATTCAATCTTTAACTGGGCTGAGCAAGTAACACGACTAGGTGAAAATCGGCTTCATGATGACTCACTTTCATGATGAATCTTACATATTGCATGCTGTTACGTGTCTTCATGACCGTTCTTCCTTCCATCAAAACTAAAGTTTCTAACTGTGACATTTTACATGCATGAAAACAGTGTCGGATAGCACTGGAAGACAAACCAATATTCCCAAGCTTGGAAAGAGCATGGAAATATTTGGAAAGAGAAATGTTTCTTCCACTGTTGCCTGGGAATGTTTTCCCTCAAACAACGGAGTCACCACGCTCTAACCGATTAGATTTGAGGGAAATGGCGCAGTTAATTCTTTTAAAACACGCAATGTTCCTTCTCCAAGCTGTCGACAGTTTTCTTTCTCAAGTGGCAAAAAATATCCTTTGGCAGGTGATTGACTGACTTTATTGACGTACGAGGTTGTGATAGCACAAGAGATTCACGCTGGGTTGTTCGACTACGTTCGTGCGTGGTGGATATCGCCCACCTTCGAATCCCTGCCCAATATCATTCAGTGGAGAAACAGTAGTTATATCACTTACAAAGTTCAAGATGTTTAAATTTGGTTACACAGGCTTGAGAGAAATGTGGCTATGAACTGGTATAGCGTTGACACTGCTAACAACAGGAAGGAATAACTGTGCTTGATAAAAAATAGTGTCAATATAAATTAATGTGATTAATATAAATGTTAGCATATGATTAAGTTGTTCGTCTGTTTTATGATTTTTCATAATAAATTCATTGACAAAACCCATCGTTGTGAGAGAAGACAGAGTCAATTTAATTAAGAATGCCCGTGGTGTGTGATACGGCGTGCAACGGCGGTGCATTGAATACAGCAGATGATTGAATTCTGCCAGTGGGATTTTGTTCCAAATATCAACAAAACACAGGCCCAGCCGAACTCTTGTTACAGGTTGGTTCTGGTCATGCTGTAAACGTTGTCACAGCTCATCCCAGACATCTTCCATGGGTGATTGTGTGGGTTTTGTTTTTTAGAACTGGAATCGAACCCGGGTCTTCGGCGTTATGAGCAAACGCTTTAACAGCTAAACGACCCCACCGCCTCTGCTCCATGGGACGTGATCTGGAGACACAGTCGGCTATGACAGTACAGTGGTGATATGGTGCCTCAAAATGTCTATTACAACGCTTAATGTTGGGTTGGCATACTCCTGCATTAGTAATAGGGTTAACTGCCATTAACACTTATAACCTGTGCGTTGTCATGTCACTTTATACCATTACACCAACACCCAAACTAAAGACCCGTAAAGATCCGGGTTAGAATTGTTGGTCTTCAGTAACCCATGCTTGTCGTAAGAGGCGACTAACGGGATGGGGTGGTCAGGCTCGCTGACTTGGTTGACACATGTCATCGTATCCCAATTGCGTAGATCAATGCTCATGATGTTGATCACTAGATTGTCTGGTCCAGACTCGATTATATGCAGACCGCTGCCATATAGCTGAAGTATTGCTGAGTTTGGCGTTAACAAACCCAAACTAACGACATTGGGTAACTCGGCACAGACATTGTCAAAGCTGTTAATGTGCAGTTAGGAACCGTTAACACAGATGCACCAGCCGAATATGGTTGTTTTGTCGGCGTGACGTCACATGTGGACGACCGACCTCTGGCAAGTGATGGTTGTTGTTACTCTGTAGATAACATGCAAAAAGAGAAAATATTATGTTTCTAGGAACATAAATACGTCTGCCATCACTGTTTGAAACATATGCATTGGCAAGTTACACCGTGTACGGTTTATTTATTGATGAACAAAAGTGTTATTACGAGCACCTGATAGCTACACATGGACTGGAAACTGTTCACAAAGTCGTACACATTCAAATTGTGCACCTTGCACTGACACGCACAAATAATAAATAACGACATCGAGGTGGTGTTTTTGAAAATGGTATGTTTCATTTCACAATAAATTTCTTCGATTTAACTTTATATATAACACAGTTACATCTTACATCTGTATAATGATGCTTTGCGTTGAAGCAGATTTCAGCGGATTAAGGATGATTCTTAATTGGCCTCAGGCACCAATTGAGTAAACTGTTTCTTGCACAACTGTGAACAGCATTTCATAAATGGCATCCCTAATGGACGACCACGAATCGTTTTGGATAAACATTTCCTAACTTCATTCAAACACGAGCATATGGAAATTTTGTAACTACGGGGATGTCAAGACTACGTCTATATATACCAGAAACATTTGTTTTGTTCTGAAATGGTGTAATTTAGTCGAAATGCGTATTACGAACAAACACCCCTTTGAATTCGTTATAACCGTTGTTGCCTGTAGGTCCAAATGCCAACCCGTCTGAAAACATATACACTACCAATAGTGGCGCGGTGGGCGAGCGATCTAAGGCACCAGAATAGTGATCCAGCGAGCTTCAGGTGCCGGGTGTGATCGGGTGTAAAAACCTTTGAATCAACTCTGTGTGCAGACTCTTTCAGTGTTGTCACAACCCCTAGTGTGCAGTACACAACTCCGTGTGCTTAAAAGATCACACGAATCCGTTGGTAAATGACCAGATGGGGGCCACATGAATACGTGCAAACACCTAGTTCCGGTACAGCAACATGCAGTATACCTGGACAAAGGACTGTGACTATGTGTCCAAATCCACCTAGCTGCGAACGGGTACCTCGTAAGGATGGGAAAGCCACATTATTAACCTGGTGCGCCTAAATGTCTGCAAGAGTTGTATACTCCCCAGGGAGCTGAGATTGAAAAATACGATGTGCCGTGGAGATTGACATCCTATGACCGAGGGAAAAATAAAGCGTCTTTGAACAGCTGAGCTGAGCTGGATATTGGCGCTATACAAACGTCATATATATGATAACTACCAAGGAACTATTTTCGAAGATATCGAGTGAAACGACTGAGTTACTTCTCGTAGATCAACATTTGCTTCGATTTAAGATTCGATCATTAACATAAGTTTGCAAGATTGAGTG